TTCACCCACGTTTCATCGAGATAGTATATCTTTTTTTAACGGCTCTAAACTCTTTAATATTTCGTAAATAACGCCGTCGCCAGGACACTATATCTGACCTCTCAATTAAAATTGATTTCCTACACCGTTTGACAAAACGAAATTTTAGACCCCATAAAATTTTTCTTAAAGTTTCACGGCTCATTAATGGAATTTCTTCGTTATCTCCTTATTTAGTAAGAAGAACTTTAAGTGTTGGGGCTTTATTTTTGAAAAAAAAAAGAATGTACAGTTCTTAGAATGATTTGTTTTTGGTTATCGTCCAATTTCAACAATTTTCGACCATGGGTATGCGTTTTAGGGACTTCTAAGGAGCCTTTTCTTGTCTTTTCGCGTACAATACGTTCAATTGTTGAAACAGATACTCCATTTAAAAAAGAACTGCGGTTTACAGCTTCATTTGCAGGAAGTATATGTTTCAGCCCATCATACACTTTCGATATAATGTTATTTTCATCCTTTGATAAGGGCTTTCGTCGACGTAATTGGGTTTCACTTGGACCCGCCTCTGAATCCATTACTATTGTAACAATATAATTCTACTATTAAATTGTTTTTATTAAATTTATAAAGACACCAATATTTTACTATTTAATAAACTTTTAATGTACCTACCTAATTACTACACAATAAATGTAACTGCTCGAAATTGTAAGACACAAACTTGAACATCTACTCGTATATCAGAAAAGAGCACTTATACAAAAAAGTGTGTATAAAATATAAAATAATTATCGTAAATAGTTAAAGCGATACAAATCTAACTTCGTCGAAAGTTAGTTTTCAACTGTCTTTGTGCCTGTGCTGATAATATTCAATCTGTAACCCGTCTGTCGTTTATTTACTTGAAACACATTTTAAAACCATTAAACAGATAACGAAGAGATTAAGGAATAAATATATTCATTTCTTGAAAACTATCAAAAACGTATATTTAACGCATCATCTTTATTTAAATAAAGATGTTGACAAACAAATACCAAATAAATAATTATTTGGTATTTGATACGCTGCCTATGCTGACTCTGTCGGAATTTTCATTCATAGACAACAGTGGTGATCATGCATATGACTCACCTCCAATATTTTGTCCGAGTGCAATTGCTTTCCTTATTTTTTCTAATCCATAAGTGCAGTTGTTCTTTTCCTCATTACAAGTGAGCACGCGGTACTTGTGAGGTTTCGATGTTGCCATTTTTAGTCAAATCGAATCCATAAACATTTTCCGTAACAACGTACTTCTACTTGGACGAGAGCAGAGAAATTAATTACCGTCTTGCAACAATTATACAAACGTTAACATTAGTTCTGCTTAAAGCTAATTGATTAATTATGGATGGTGAAAAAAGTATTTAAGTGCGCCACACATGCACTACTGTTATTACCTGTTTATTTTTTTTTTAACAATGTGCGTACTCTTCGTGATAGGTATATGAATTGAATGAGAAATAGTTCCGTTTGCAATTTATTTACGAGGATATTGCGTTTTAATTAAAGAGAAAAAATTGGGTTTGTACAGGATTTTTGCCAAATTACGAATAATTATCGTCAAATCAAGGGCGGTTCCAAAATGAATGTTCGGGGGGGCCATTGCCTTTAGATATTCCCTTTTTAGTATATTTAAAAAAAAAGACTAATAAATCGTAAAAATTTTCATTTCGGGGGGTGTCGAGGCCCTCATAGCCCCCCTGGAGCCGCCTTGCATCAAATTCGATAAAATTTTTCTAATTCAAAGTTTTTTTCTAATTTTATGTATAATATGTTTGCGAAGCAACCCGTCATAACTCAAGGCCATACAAATTGGATAAATTAGTTGTTTTTAAAATTTTCCCTAAACAAATTTAGAACTGATGGGTTTTTTTATGTAATAATAAAATGCTCTCTTGTTCTACACACATTAAAAAATCTAAAATGTATATCCTTTCAAGGTTAACTCAAAAATTAATAAAATCCTTCCATCATTATTGTTTCCTTTCATTTCTTTACCCAAAGGATCACCTGGACCCATTTATATGTTTTTTTTGTATGTCCTCCTGCTATCAATGAAATTTTCTTTCACAGGAGATGTGGAGATTTGCTCGAAACCCAATTTACAGTACAGCAACCACTTTGCATTAAAATCTTCATTGTTATAAGCATAATACCATTTTTATTTACCTAGCAATAGCGAAATACAACAAACAATACAAGGAACACAAATATTTATAAAAATTACAGAATGATTAATCAAGGTAATCGATATTTTACTCTTTGCTTCATTTTACAGAATCACACTTTATTTATTTCTAAAACATGGTAGTAAGCGACCTATTTAAAATATTGTTAGAAGTTAAAAGAATTAACTTCAAAATTATTGTTTTAAAATGATTTATCACCCTGTATACTATAACACCCTGTATAGCCACTTCATAAAACACTTGTTAACATGGTTTTATAACGTTTTATTAAATATCTCATAAACAATGTTTGAAATGTAATTAATTAAGGAACAAAATAAAGAATGTCTTTAAAGGGCATAAGGCCTATCACTTCATAGCTGGTCGAACGTGTGAAGTCCCCGCTCTCGGCGCTCTCTCCTGGTCCTGAACTTTGAAACGGGTAGACGTGGTATTGTCGACCCCAGTTCATTTTGGAAATCCCAAATGCAAAGTGAAAAATTGAAAATATATACCAATGTTTAAGGCTCGATTACAAAGAATAGACTCGTCTTACGAAAATTTACTAAGAGAGCTTTTTTGTGGGGAATTTAATTTCCTACAAGGATAAGAGATGAAAAGTCCGAAATTTATGCAAAAACGCGACAACTGTTGAAAAATCAATAACTGCAATGATGCACCTCTTAATATTATTATTAAGGGTTCAAACTTTCAGGAAAAAATTTTTTTGTCGTCATGAACAATATTTTCATAGTTCCGCTAAGAAAAAAAATTGTTTTATTTTTTTGGCCCAGTCTAATGCTGACCCCGCCTTTCAAGGCTTATTACTTCATCCTTGAGATATAAAACATAACGTTAAACATGGAAGTATGCTGACTCCATGTTTCAAGGCTTATTATTTCATCCCTGCAACAATAAAAATCAAAGCAGTCAAAATAAAACATTTACTTTACCTTCAGTTTCAAAAAATTGATAAAGTCTTGCAAATCAGTCACTAATGATCACCCGCTCGGCCAAAGCCTGACTTGTTTAACATTTTTCGGAGACGAAATTTTTATCAACGCCTTTATTTATCTCTGTAGCTGTATAAGATTTACAAAGTGAGCTGTCAAAATAAGAAACTACCATTTTCTGTGTAAAAATGACTCTTAAAAGTTCAAATTTAAAATTAGACCAATCTCTTAATGTTGGAGACCAATTCTCAAACCATATTTTAGCATCGATTAATAAAAAGCGTTCAGTATCTGCTAGTCTTACCACTCAAATTTCTTTTATCTTTTCGAACTGTTGTATCCAAACCTTATAATCGTCAGTATCTGACCAAAATAAGAGCAAATCAACTTGTTCTGGAGTTGTTATGAGATTTTTGGAACTGAGCAACATTTCTGCGAATAAATCATCCTTGATACACTTTTAGACACTTCGTTTTAAATGTGAAAACGTGAACAGGATCCACACTTCTGATGTTAGAAGTTAAAAGAATTAACTTCAAAAGAATTGTTTTAAAATGATTTATCACCCTGTATACTATAACACCCTGTATAGCCACTTCATAAAACACATGTTAACATGGTTTTATAACGTTTTATTAAATATCTCGTAAACAATGTTTGAAATGTAATTAATTAAGGAACAAAATAAAGAATGTCTTTAAAGGGCATATGCCCTATCACTTCATAGCGTTCGGCTGGTCGAACGTGTGAAGTCCCCGCTCTCGGCGCTCTCTCCTGGTCCTGAACTTTGAAACGGGTAGACGTGGTATTGTCGACCCCAGTGGCGGCGATATCCTAATTCGCTGACTCTAACAATATGATTATTGTCTTATTATTATAATACGCTTTTTTAAATTTTAGATTTTAACAGTGGCAGTGACAATTCATGATATATAACTATTTTACCAAATATTTTGACTAGTGGACCACGTTTTTAAGTTCACAAATAATAATATCAAGATTCTGATTCGGATTAGTAGTTTTACTACAAAGGGTTTTGTGCCAAAGCCAAACAATGTATTTATATTGTAAAACGCAGATGAGTAATTATCAGTATCACATCAATAGAAATTGAAAATTCACATATGAACCTTTGTAACGTAATTATTTATAACTTTAATAACTTTATACGGTCAAAAATTTTAGCTAACTTATTTAATTCTAAATATAAATTGAATTTCATTTTAAAAGTTCATTATATTGTTTAGTTGTTGCAACTTTATTCCGCTTAAGTACCGGTTAGATTAAAATATGAATTGATTTATGGAGCTTAATCGAAAAACCAGTAACTAATGCTTTCATTCCAAAGCAAAAGTATTATTGTCAATAAAAGGAATTTAGAACTGTGATATCTTCAACCCCTTATTTAAAACCTTTAAATATTAATATTATCATTATACAAGAGTTGTCTTTACAAATTGTTACATATACCGAACATTAGTTTGTTGACATAAACATTATTTTCATAATACAAATAAATATCTCTTTTAAAGAATGGTCATATTTTATTTAATATATTCATTTAAACATGTTTTTTGTTTTTTGTCTAAATGATATTGAATACTAACTTTTTCTATATAACTTCTTATACCCGACATTGTGAGATAAAAAAAAGTTATTAACTTAAGCGGTTCAAGATTAAAAACAGCTAAATAGACACTGCTGACTATAACAGGTATATCATTCTATAAGATCCGTTTTTACAAATGAATTCGAAGCAAAAACCTATTTGTTCTTCTATAAAAAGCATACAGCTTTCTGTACTGTAATTGTATACTCAATCAATCTATAGTTTCTTTTTTTTTTGTTTCAGCGCTGACTCGTCTCCAGACGCCATAAAAATTCTCGGTTCCAAGAACGGATTTGACAAAAACGATCAATTGTCACCGGAGGAAAATCAGGCTCTAATGAAAAGGTATTTGCAATGTCCCGGAATGTGCAGAGTGGATGTCCTTAAGAAATTCGTTAGGAATAAATACAACGTCGATACCAGTCTGTTTCACGTAAGTGAATTATTTCATTTTAACTATTTTTATACATCATCGTTCGTCGAAACTAATTAAGTTTTATTTCTCGTTTATTTTAATCAAATTGAGACGACGTACCTTTAAACCAATAAATTTTACTCAAAGTTCTTTTTTTTATTATTTTCAGATTGATATTTTGTACAAAAGAGTCCCTCTACCAGATCATTATACATTGATCGACATTGCCTACATCTATTCATGGAAAAGGGTAAGATCATTTACTATTAATACCTTTTATTTTTGAAAGTTTTATTTTGTCATAGTTGTTATGTTGTTGGATAGGGTTTCTGAATATTTTTTTTATATAAAATAAAGAAAAATCAAATTCTTAAAGACATGTGTGACAATATAATATGAACTCACGGAAAATCTATGCGCCGGTAACACAAACCTCTAGAAAATCAAAGAAAATCACAGAAAATTATAGAAAATCTTAAGGAAAATCGAAGAAAATCCTAGAAAACTAGAAATCCCTAAAAAATCATAGAAAATCTTTGGAAAATCATATAAAATCAGAGAAAACCATAGAAATTCAAAGAAAATCTTCTGCTACAGAAGTATTATATATTTATATTGCTAGCACTATACATGGTGCAACCTATACATGGTAAAGAATGTCAACTGATACATGGAGAAGATGACGTATAAACAGGGTAGATGGCAGACAAGGAAAGACGAATAGATGACGTTGAAGAATACTTAGAATACACAACAGTGTAGACCTAAGATGAAAAAGAAACAACTGGAGAAGCTGAAGAAGAGGAAGAGCGAAACGTTGAAAGGGTGACAGACAGTCGGATATTCGTAGAAAATCATAGAAAATCAAAGAAATTCATAGAAAAACATAAAATTTATTGATACGAGAAGTCAAAAAGGTCTAAACTTTGGAAGAGCACTAAAGTATACTTGGAATTCATACAAAGAGCAGTAAAGACCTAAGATGATGATGAAGAAGAAGAAACCACTGCTGAATCTGAAGAAGAGGAAAAGCGAAACGTTGAAAAGTTGACAGATATTCGTAGAAAATCGTAGAAAATCAAAGAAATCCATGGAAAATCATAGACAACCTTGAAAATTCGTAAAATTTATTGATACTAGAAGCCAAAAAGGTCCAAACTATGGAGGAACACTAAAGAATACTTAGAAATCATGTAGAGAGTAGTGCAGGCCTAAAACGAAGAACAGAAAACCATTGAAGAAGATGCTGAAGAGTCATCGATGAAGAGCGAAACGTTGAAAGGGTGACAGAAAATAGAAAATCACAAAAAAAAGGAATAGAAAAACATAGAAAATTGTAGAAATGTTTAAACAGTCATAGAAGACACGCTGCTGCGTTGGACCGTAGTTGGTTAGTACAGAAATTGTAATAGCTAGGAAGTCGAAGGAGAGGAGGAGACATTACTTCTCTGGATGAAGAAATGTCAATGAATACGGGAAGGCAACTGTCAAAAGTTCAGTATTAAGAATAAGTCTAAGAAGAACGCATAGACATCGTTCGGAATCATTGTTGTTATTGTAGTCATACATCATCGTCGTATCCTTATTGCTTACAAGTTAAATCTTGAATTAAAATATTCTTTTTGGATCAAAGCGTTGACCAAGCAAAGTTATTTATCGTGTCGTAATATACGTTCGATGCATAAAATGGTTTCAAGCGGGCACACTGTTTAACGGATGTATTGACCTCTCCTTTTAACTAAAGGCATTCGCGGTAGTCTCTCGCGTTCAATCAGCGTATTGCATCGACAGACGCGACCAGCCAGAACGCAGTGTTGTACCAAAAAAATAGACATTAATACGTACGAAAATAATAAAAATATTTAAATGAACAAATAGGGAAACTGCCCCTGTTTGGGGAGAATCCAATTACTCAAAAACCCGAATTTAAGTATTTTTTTTTCTGTTCACTTCCTACCTTTAAAAAACCGAAAGTTATCTTCCGTTTCCCCCTCCTAAATATGTATAAATTCAAAAATAAAAAAAAATTAAAAACCCTGGAACATATCTATTTATTTATGATGTGTAGTAACAATTCCAATTTTCAAGTTTTTACTTTTAAAAAAATCGATACCCTCTTCCCCTTTCCTTTATTTCCCCTTTTACCTTTTCCCCTTTTACCGTTTCCGCTTTCATTAATTTCCTTCTTCCCTTTTCCTTAATTTTCCTTTCCTTCTTCCCTCTTTTCCCTTTATTTCATTTTCTCTCTTTCCCTTTCCCCCAAACTATGTAAAAATTCAAAAACCCTGAAACAAGTCTATTTATTTTTGATGTGTAACATTTTAAACCTTTAAAATAATCGATACCCCCTTCACCTTTCCTTCATTTCCCCCTCCACCTTTCCTTTATTTCCTCCTTTTCCTCTTCTTCATTTCCCCCATCCTCTGTCCTTCATTTCCCCCATCCTCTGTCCTTCATTTCCCCCTTTTCATATCTCCTTTCCTTTTCCCTTTTCTTTCTTTTCCCGTTTCTCCGCTCCCCTCTTCCCTTTTCCATCTCTCCTTGTTTATTTCCCCTCCACCCTTTCCCTCTTTTCCTCCTTTCCGCCTTATCTTTTCCCCTTTATCCTTTTTCCCCCTTTCCCGTGTCCCCTTCCCCTTTTCCCTTTTTCCTCTTTCCCGTTTTTGTTTTTCCTCCTTCCCCCTTTTCCCCTTTCCCCTTAACCCCTTTCCCTTCTTTTCCCCTTTTCCCTTTTCTCCCTTTTCGTGTTCCTGCTTTTCCTTTCCCCCTTTTCCTTTTCATCTTTTCTTCTTTCCTTCTTTTCTCCTTTCCATATTTCTTCCTTTCTCCCTATTTATCTCCATCTCTCCCCCTGTCTGTCAAATTATCCCGCTTTCTCCCTTAGAATAGATATTCCAAAAACCCTAAAACACGTCATTATTTATTTGTGATAAATAGCTATAATTCCAATTTTCAAGTTCCTACCTTTAAAAAAGTCGATACTCCCATACAAACGTTCATCTCCCGTTTCTCCTCATAGCTGTATTTTCAATTTTCATATTTCACTGCCTCTATGTAAAAAATCATGGCTGATGATCCCTTGCTCTTGGAATAACAAAAACAAATCTATCCCACGGGAACCGTACACTTTTCCGGGATATGTGGTATTCTAGGCTATAATCTATCTCTGTGCTAAATTTCATCTGGATCCGTTCAGCTGTTCTGGCATGATTGAACAACAAACATCCATCCATGCAACCAACCAAACTTTCGCATTTATATAATAGTAGGATTCTAATTTTATTATTATGTTTGTTTCAGAATGAACCGATGAAATTCTTCTTCAGAATCACGGATATCAACAAAGTATCGGAACGTTTCGACTACTTCGATTCACAAAATCCTTGCGAACTCATAGTCCAACTTCCTCTGAGGCACACGAGAAACAACGGAACGGCCGCGAGCAGAAGAAAGGAACACGCGGCGAATAGGAAGAAGATCAAACAAGAATTACAAAATCAAGCAAACGGTTGTGATACGCAAAAAGTTGACATTAACGAAAAGAAGAGTACAGTTCTGAATGGTAGTGATAAAACGTTTACGAAACCCGAGTGTGATAGTATTGGTAAACAAAAAATCGGTAATAAAGAAAACGTTAAAGTTAAAGTCGAAGAAACCGCGAATAATAATAGTGATACATCGGAGAAGAGTCCGAAACGGTTTATTTTGAAAATTAAAAAGGATCCCGAAAAAGACAATTCGTTAAAGATTGACGACAATTCCAGCGCGTTTAGACTCAGTGTTACCAGTTCGGAAGAATCTAAAGATACTAAAAACAGTGTAACTTCTAGTAGTGTAGTAAAAAATAATATTCGAAATCAACAAAGTGATGTTAAAAATTCCGTGTATACGAGTATTACGCTTAATCGAACTAACAACGTAGAAATCATAACGAAAATTCAAAAAGTTTCCAACAAAGACGGTCCACCCGAATTGAACATTTTAGAACAAACGTTTAAAGGCAAAGAAGCGACGAGAAAACACAAGAAAAAATCCGAAAAATCGCTCCTAAAATACAAACCGAAATATTCTAAATTATTAAACAAAAACAAATTATCTAAAAAAGAAATTCCTAGTACCAGCGTGAGAAGCAATACCAAAAATATAACAAATCCGAGTGTTATTTGCGGTGATAGTGATAAAGACAAATTTCTCGCAAATTTTCAGTTAGTATCGAAAAGCTTTGTCACGAAAAAACAAATTAAAGAATATAAAAAATCCCCTAATGTAGATGTAAATAAACGCAAACCTGCAAGTCCTGCAAAGTCGAGTTCATCACCGAAAAAAGCCAAACTTGATAAGAAATCCGTTACTAGAATAATCCTCCAATCCAAACCAAAGCCTAATTCTTCTCCCAAATCTTGTGATAAATTACAAACCCCAGGTCTCCAATCTTTAATCGAGAATTGCAAAATCCCCTCATCTCTATCGATTACGATTAAAGATAGCAGCGAAAGTAATAAAACAAACACTCTGATACCACCCGTTAAAAATTACATAGAAATATTAAAATTACCCGACGAAAATAAAGAAACCGTTAACGATAATAATAATAGTAACAAACTTAACTTTGCTCTACACATGAACGACGACAGCGAACAAAAAGTAGACGAGGACTTAGCGGAAATCGCCAAAAGCCTAACAGAAAAAATCCCCATGTCTACGACCGTATCCCAAATAGTAGGCCCCAAACCAGAATTCCCGATACCTGTAAAAACAAACGTACCATCTAAGTTCACCATCCAACCATCACCAGTACCTGAAATAACCAACAAGCTTCTTAACGTGCCAAAAGAAAACAAACTCAATCCCAGATCTCCGCAATCGTTCCAAAAAATATTTGAGGAGTCTATCAAAAAACCGGACGACGATTCGATCGAAAACGATGGCTGCTCCTCGGAATCGAGTAACGAAGTTACGAGTACGTCGAATAACAAACGAAATATTTTAGAAATAGCGACTCAGTTGTATAAGAAAACGAAATTGGAACACGAAAAGAGTCAACCTCAGAATCAGATCGATTCTACGACGCCCAAAACCGTACCGAAAGTTCCTATTCCGAGATTACCCAATCGGAACTCGAAAACGACGCCGAAATATTCCATATTCGAAAGGAGCGATGGATTGCAAACTTTGACTAATCTTCATTCGAATGCTCTTGGTTTGAATTATACCATATCGGTAGGACCGAATAAAACCAATGGTATAATAACGAAGAAAGATGATGTACCAGTAAAATCGCCGTTGTCTATTGAGGCTAAAACGAGTTTGTTCCCTTCTCCTAAAGATCTACCTGGGACATCACCAAGACCAACTTTACCTCGAAACATATCACCGGGAATAGCTTATACTAACTCCCCACGAAATTCTCCTAAACATTCGCCAAAATCCTCCCCGCTAATTAAACACATGTATGCTCCTACCCCAAATCTAATGATGGACCAGTTACGAGTAAATACTTTCTCCCCCAAAATTAATAAAAGTTCTCCTAACTTACCCAGTTCCTCTACAAGCACTAAGAGTCCTAATAGTATTTCACCTAAACCGTCTACTATATCTCCTCAGGTTCCTTCAAAAATTAGCCCAAAACCCAGCTCTAGTAGTCCGAACTCGCAGCTGAGCCCGAATCAGATTTTGGAGAGATACAACATTCAAAATTTGGCTCAATTAACGGCGAATTTCAATGCTAGTAATTTCGGTTTGACCGCCCCCGGGAATCAGTTGGCGGCGTTCCAGCACGCCATGCTGCTCAAACACTTCGAAATGCAGAACAGACAGAACTGGTTGAACATGAACCAAGGTCCGTTGTTGCAGTACGAGAAATATCTGCAGAATTTGCAGAATTTGAAATCGGCTCAGAATCAATTGTTGAGCAACATAAAGGAAAATTAATTTATTAAGAATGTATTTTTTTTCGTTTCGGTTTTTTGGTTAATATTGTTTTTTTATAATTTGTGATTCTTTGAAATGTGTTGTTTTAGTAATATAATTTTTTAATGGATTATAAAATCGATGGAAACTTTTTATTGGTTCGTTATTTTCATTAGTTTGGTACAATATTACGAGGTTGAGTCAAATGAAAATGGTAAAAACGTAGTTAAATAAAACTAGTCACTAATCGCTATGTGTAATGTCATTCTTAGTTTTGGAAGCGCGTGCAGTTGGTAAAAAAATCGATCATTCGATAATCGAAAATAATCTATGATATTCAATCAATAGAAAAAATCGTTTAATCAGAAACAATCGATTATTTTGGACAATCTATTTACGATTTGTTTCGATAATCGCCCAGTCTTATTGATAAATCGATATTGCCTAATTAATATGTAATAATGGATAAATTAATAACAATTGTTTATATATAAGATTAAAAATTAATTAAACAATTAAATTATTGCGAAATAATTAATTTAACGTTTAATCGAAAGGAACTGATTAATGGAAAATAATCGATCTATCGATTAATCGAAAGACGTTAATTAAACGAAAATAATCGAGATATCGATTAATCTAATAATTGATAATCCGATTATTCCGAAATAATCAATTTAACGTTTAATTGAAAGGAATCGAATTTCTGAATAATTGGATTATTTGAAAATAACTAATGAAAAAATCGATCTATCGATTAATCAAAAGAGGTTGATTAAACGAAACTAATCAATAATAATCTAAAATATCGAAAACATTCGATTAATCTACAATAGTTTATTATTCGAAAAATAAATTAATTGAGAAAAAATCGAAACAAATCGATTATTTTAAATGGTAATCGATTTAACGATTAATCGAAGAGATTCGATTTTTTGAATAATAGATTATAAAAAATAATCGATTAATCGAAGTGGTCGATTAAACGAAAATAGTTAATTGAATCGAAAATTATTAATTGGAAATTAACGATTAATTGATTAATCTAAAATAATCGATTAATCAAAAATAAATAATTGATTGATCAAAAAAATCGATTGTTCGAAAAATCGATTGGTTTCTGGTTGACTAGAACATCTTCCAAAGAGTTTTTTAAGTAAATTATCCGTTGGGAAAGAGATAAAGAAGAAGGACGAAGCCATGATGTCTCCAAAACTACTTCTCTTGCTTTTTAGAAAATTGACAACGTCTTTCCTGTCGATACTATGTGTGAATTTTTTTTTATATCATTTTTTGTTTGTCCTGTTGGTTTTTGTTTGATTAGAACATCTTCCAAAGAGTTTGCTGATTAAATTATCCCTTGGAAAAGGAATAAAACAGAAGAACGAAGCCATGATGTCCTCCAAAATTACTTTTCTTGCATTTTACAAAATTAGCAACAACATCTTTCTTGTCGAAGCTGTGTGTGACTTTTTTTGTTTTTACATCATTTTTTGTTTGCTCTCTTTAGTTTCTGGTTGACTAGAGCATCGTCCAAAGAGTGAAAAGGAATAAAGAGAAAGAACAGAGCCAAGATGTCCTCCAAAATTACTCCTCTTGGATTTCAAAAAATTGGCAACATCTTTCCTATCGAACCTGTGTGTTAATTTTTTGTGTTTTGACATAATTTTTGTTTGCTCTCTTAATTTCTGGTTGACTAGAACATTGTTCAAAGAGTGAAAAGGAATAAAGAAGACGAACGGAGCCATGATGTCCTCCAAAATTACTCATCTTGCATTTCAGAAAATTGGCTACAGAATCTTTCCTGTCAAAGCTTTGCTTGATTTTTTTTTCGACATTTTTTGTTTGCTGTCTTAGTTTCTGGTTAGCTAGAACATCGTCCAAAAAGTGAACAGGAATAAATAATAATTACTCCTCTTGCATTTGAGAAAATGGGCAATATCTTTCCTGTCAAAACCTGTGTGACAAAATTTTTTGTTTTGATATCATTTTTTGTTTGATCTCTTGGTTTCTGGTTGATAAGAACATCTTCCAAAGAGTTTGCTGATTAAATTATCCCTTGGAAAAGGAATAAAACAGAACAACGAAGCCATGATGTCCTCCAAAATTACTTCTCTTGCATTTTACAAAATTAGCAACAGCATCTTTCTTGTCGAAGCTGTGTGTGACTTTTTTTTGTTTTTACATCATTTTTTGTTTGCTCTCTTTAGTTTCTGGTTGACTAGAGCATCATCCAAAGAGTGAAAAGGAATAAAGAGAAAGAACAGAGCCAAGATGTCCTCCAAAATTACTCCTCTTGGATTTCAAAAAATTGGCAACATCTTTCCTATCGAACCTGTGTGTTAATTTTTTGTGTTTTGACATAATTTTTGTTTGCTCTCTTAATTTCTGGTTGACTAGAACATTGTTCAAAGAGTGAAAAGGAATAAAGAAGACGAACGGAGCCATGATGTCCTCCAAAATTACTCATCTTGCATTTCAGAAAATTGGCTACAGAATCTTTTCTGTCAAAGCTGTGATTGATTTTTTTTTGTTTTGACATCATTTTTTGTTTGCTGTCGTGAAAAGGAATAAAGAGAAAGAACAGAGCCAAGATGTCCTCTAAAATTACTCCTCTTGGATTTCAAAAAATTGGCAACATTTTTCCTATCGAACCTGTGTGTTAATTTTTTGTGTTTTGACATAATTTTTGTTTGCTCTCTTAATTTCTGGTTGACTAGAGCATCGTTCAAAGAGTGAAAAGGAATAAAGAGAAAGAACAGAGCCAAGATGTCCTCCAAAATTACTCCTCTTGGATTTCAGAAAATTGGCAACATCTTTCCTATCGAACCTGCGTGTTAATTTTTGTATTTTGACATAATTTTTGTTTGCTCTCTTAATTTCTGGTTGACTAGAACATCGTCCAAAGAGTAAAAAGGAACAAAGAAGACGAACGGAGCCATGATGTCCTCCAAAATTGCTCATCTTGCATTTCAGAAAATTGGCTACAGAATCTTTCCTGTCAAAGCTTTGCTTGATTTTTTTTTTGTTTTGACATTTTTTGTTTGCTGTCTTAGTTTCTGGTTAGCTAGAACATCGTCCAAAAAGTGAACAGGAATAAATAATAATTACTCCTTTTGCATTTGAGAACATGGGCAATATCTTTCCTGTCAAAACCTGTGTGACAAAATTTTTTGTTTTGATATCATTTTTTGTTTGATCTCTTGGTTTTTGGTTGATAAGAACATCTTCAAAAGAGTTTGCAGAGTAAATTATTCCTTGGAAAAGGAATAAGAAAGAAGAACGAAGCCATGATGTCCTCCAAAATTACTCCTCTTGGGTTTCAGAAAATTGGCAACATCTTTCCTATCGAACCTGTGTGTGAATTTTCTTTGTTTTGACATCATTCTTTAGTTCCTGATTGACTAGAACATCTTCCAAAAAGTTTGCTGAGTAAATTATCACTTAGAAAAGGAATAAAACAGAATAACGGAGCCATGATGTCCTACAAAATTACTCCTCTTGCATTTGAGAAAATTGGCAATAGGATATTGCCTGTCCAAGCTGTGTGTGATTTTTTTTTTGTTTTGGCGAGGAGGTGTGACATAATTTTTTGTTTGCTCTCTTAGTTTCTGGCTGATAATAGTGCACCCAGGACTCCTGACCAGAAAATCTTTATAAGTACTATTACAAAAATTCTTTACTATCATCAATACATTGTAGTTTCAATTCTAGAGTTAATTGCTTGGTGTTGTGAATATCCGTTTTATACCTACATAACTTTAGCGAAGACACATGAAAAATTAATTTTTGTATAGTAAAACTGAATACAAAATATTAAAAATACGTAAACAAAGTGTCGCGCATTGATGGTGAGCGTGTTACCTAACAACGAGAATTTTATAGAGTTTTAGCTAAATTTGAAATTGTATTGGTACCAAGATGGTGGATCTAGGTACAAAGCTTCTCACCTATATCTTTTGATGTAAAGTTTCAATCAGACGATTTTTTTGACGAAGACTTTACTGGTACAGTGCTCTAATGTAGGTGCTATTTTGCCCCTTTTAAGGTTTTCATTTGACACTTCCTCGAATATTGAATATCTCAAATGAATTGTCCTAAAAAGTTTACTAGCAATTACAAATCAAGACGTGAAATTAAAAATGATTGCACTAGAGTTGTAATTTCTTAATTTGAAAGCAAGAACAAAGCTTATTCTTCGACATATTTTCTTGTATTCAATATTCATTTATTTTACTGTCAACGTTACGCATGGTTTATGAACATCCTCAGGATATTTTACGATCGTGTGAGATATTGAACGACTACGGTAATTAAGAAAAGTGACAGGTGTAACAAATTTAATTTTATATTATGAAAAATACTGAATGACATTGCATGGTTTATAATTTGAAAAAAAGGATTGTTAAATTTATTTTTTATTTGCAATTTTCTCATTAGATGTATTCAATTTGATTTTTCTTTCATTAAAAAGATAAATAAATATATTTTGTATAAATAATATTTATTTATGATCACAAATAATATTTATACGATACATACCGATAATTGTTGTATATTTTTTTTCATATTAATTTAAAAATGTCGGTTATTATTAATAAATCAACCATAATTTAGTTATTTAATTTGCACGATTTTCGAAATATTCGTTGTATATTTTTTTTGTTTTTATTTTGGAATTTTGTTAAAGTTTCTGTAAGTAAATTATTGTTATTCTTAGTTCTTTGCAAACGAGAAGGTGTATTATACTGATGTAATTAGTTAGTTTTAAGAAAAATGTAAAATATTATTTTGCAATTTTCATTAAAAAAGTCATATTTCTAACTGGTTTTTAATTCAATGGTTATTTTAAGTGATTTCGTATAAATTGAATTTTTTTACATTTTCTATCTAAACAAATTTTGAATTAAATATGTAAAAGAAAAAGTTGGTCATTAAGTAAGAAAAGTTTCATTTTGTATGAAAGGCATAAAAATATTACCATACCTTCCCCTTATTGAATTTTTAAATTTTTTTTATTA